TTAGGGTTAAGGCTTGTTTACAATAAGGTAATAAGTGTCTGCAGGCTGTAGCTTACTATATTGCTATAGAAATTATACTCCAGACTATAGTCTCAAATTAAAATTAACCTTTCCATATCGAGCTATTTACTAATACTTTTTTTGCAAATGTTCAACCAGACACAAGCAAATTTATTTATACGTTTATCGAATAGAATAAAAATGTTATATACAATAAATTAAATCCACTGTTGATAACGTACGATATCGTTGACAGATAGTCGACACCGATTTTTATCTGGTAAACTATTTTACGCGTAAACAATGCAATAGTGTTGTGTTCATGATGCATTTGATCGTATGGTTTTTGTTGAATGGTTCGGGGCTACTCAGTGATATCTATTCAGTGATATTATTTGCTTTACATACAAGTACATGCACTATTGTACGATTCGATGTAAAGAAATCAAATGCCGTATGCCGACTTTGATAAATTAAATTTGGTAGTATGGAGCAGTTTATACTGCTAACGTAAAAGGTATTTAACGGAAGAAAATGTGCAAGAAATCTTTGTACTCAACACCGAAATTATTTATTTCTGACGTAAGCAATTTTTGATAATATTAATCAAAATGGTATTTAATCTTTATCTTTATTGGCATAATTTAAAAATTCAACCTACCGTATACTACCGTGAATAAGTACCTATCGTGAATAAGATTACCTAGGTTAACCGCATGACGTACCCCCACCCATAGTTAATTACGTAAGTATACAGGCCATTTTGCAAACACAAATAATAGTACGCTTACTGTTATAAGCTACCCCCTCAACACTGTTGTGGATTATACTTTACGTAATGATTTGCCGATCATTTTAATAATGCCGATAAGAGTTGCCGATCCTATCGTGAATAAGCACCCCTCACTATGATAAGGGTGGGTGCTTATTCACGGTAGTATACGGCAGATATTGTAAACATTTTAAGTGCAATTATCGTCATTCTTGACCGCAATTAATACGAACATGTATTAGCTTTCTTATCCTACATTTTAGTTCCAGTATCAGTACATAATTCAGCAATTGACGAATTTCCTTAGAAAGTGAAGATAACGCTTAAGGCTGGATGGATTTGTTATTTACAAATAATAATTTCCTCAACAGTTGATAAAACCGCGCCTGGCATGTCTAAATATTTAATGTTCCAAGAACATTATTATAATAAAGAACCAATAATAAACCAAACGGCACACATACCATCATCATTTATCATAACAATACAAAACGTGTATTGATATACGCGACAGTGTATTCCTGTAACAATATAAGTCCACCAGTATTTCCCAAACCAGTTTGAATCAATCCGTATTGTCATTCTTCGAAATTTTTTCAAAACTATTACAAACTGAAAGTATACGTGTAAGATCTCACAAACCCTCAGTGCTTACTTACGATTGTATTTGCATCGACCAGTAGAAGAAAGGCCATCGCTAACGTATTCATTCTTATGTCAGTTTGCTCGCATTTGGATTAAAATAAGGTTTATTATACTAAACTGGCTTGTGGCTTGTAAAGTCATACAAGAAGCATCATGTCATTACTTTGAAGATATTAAAGACAGTATCCATTATACGGAGCTGAACGACATACAAAATTGGAATCGCAAAGACAGTCAGTTAAATTGACTAGTTGGTTAATAATAATTTATTGATGTGCAAATGATCAATTTCAACTGCAACTTAACGAAAATTCGGTTTCTCAGTGCTCGTGATTTGATTAGATGATAGGTATTTAGCTTGACAATAAACAACTGTATTGAAAAAAATAACAGACGGTGAATGAATGTAGTCAGTATAATTATTTTCACTGTTTCATGACAAAAGTATATACTACGTAGCAATTCGATGAACGTTATAATTGATTACGCTTACTGATAAGAATTACTGATTTGCAAATGATTGATATTTTCTTTACTCAACTTAAACATTTAACTTGTGATAAACGCTAAATTGTATTTGAATTATATTTTGAATTAAAAGACAGATGTAAATGAATGCAGTCATTATATTATAGTAATGAGAGTTGACATGCAATTATTAATTATATCGAGACGGGACATTGGTCGCTGACAAGAATGCGAAAAGTGTTTTATTTTATCACAAGTTTACGACCGAACAGCAAGAGAACAGCATCGTGATATATGGTAGTCGTTTTACGATAAAGGAGAAAAGGAAGGGGGGAAAGACGGTACATTTATCTGTAAACTGCATCGAAGATTGACAAATGTTGTCCAATGATAGAGTAGCATGGGATTTAGAGTTGATTAAACTTATGTACCTCTAACAAGTATAATATTTGTATTTGTGCACAATACGTTCCGCTAATCAAGTATACGATATTATCAAATAACAAATATTCTCGCAATATTGTTACACTATGAATACGTAGGCAACTGTATAATAACACCCAAACCACAAGCAATATTTCGTTTATGTTTCAATAGTTAACTTATTTATTCATATCGCACACACTTACTGTGTCGTAACACGAACTATATATATTTGTCGATTGTCACCATCCTAATTTCGATCGACTCCTTCAGACACATAATTAGCAATCTTCGCTTACAAGTCACTTGAACACACCTTTGAAACTCTTTAAGAAGTAATGAACAACTTTATTGATTTGTCTTCGAGTCTCACAGTCGACTATGAGAAACTGTATGAAAGTGGTAGATATTCAGACATTTCAATCCATATTGGAAAGGAGTCAAATAGCAAAATTTTTTTCGCTCATACGGTAGTGCTATGTACAAGAAGTAAATTCATTGAGAACAACTTAACCGAGAATACAGGGGCATCTGATGCAATTCAAAAGGCTGCCATAACCTTTGAATATGTGTCTCCTGATGTTTTCGAAATATTGCTCAGGTAAAATTCACGTCAGAGGCATGTGTATGTGCAAGTTGTATTACATTGTCAATATGAATGCTCATATGATTGATCACAGGTATATATACACTGGGCGAATGTCTTATGATTTATGCAAGAATGTAGGCTGGCTCAACCTTTTGGATGGAGCTAGCAAGTTTGAACTATTTGATCTCCTTACCGCGGTTGAAACTTATTTGATTGATGAGAAACATGAATGGATTCAACAGAATATTCTCACTGTTCACAACCTTGCTGTATCCAATGCCACTTTGAACAGACTTCTGGCCTATTGTAATCGAATTATGGTCACCCACCCAGATGTTATCTTTAAATCAAATGATCTTGCGACTTTACCAAAAGAGACTTTGATCACTATTCTTAAGAGTGATGAACTAAGCATGGAAGAAGATGATATTTGGATGTCAGTTGTACAATGGGCCATTAAACAAGTACCTGAACTAGAACTTGGAATTGATTCTGATGATTGGTCATCTAATGACACTAATACAATTAAAGATATCATTGCAGACTCTATCCCTCACATAAGATTTTTCAACATTCCCCTTAAAAAGGTTGTTCTGTATGAGGATTTAATACCAAAGAAGCTCCGTCGTGATGTATTGAATTATCATGCTGACAAAGAATATAAACCAAAGGCTCCACAGTTACCCCCAAGAACAGGACAAGCATGCTTGCTACCACTGAAAGTGGGATATGAACATGATATTGAGTCAATTATCATTAACAACAAACATGCAGAATGGATCTCATCAAAAATTGAAGAATCAACAAGGCGACTGCAGGAGAAACAAACAACATCAATGAATCAGGATGATGTTTATAAGTTTACTCTACTTTATAGACGAAGCAGGGATGGTAATAATGTTGCAAAATTTAGGGAATTGTGTTCTGACAAAGGAGCCACAATTGCTGTTGGCAAAGTGTCAGGTACTGAAGAAATCCTTGGTGGCTACAACCCACTTTCATGGATTAACAACAACAATGGTTATGTGTCAACTAGAGAAAGTTTTATATTTGCATTGGATAAAAAAATGGATAAAAATATAGTTAGTTTTGTCAACAAAAATTCATTTGCCATTTATGATCATCAATCACATTTCCCCATCTTTGGGAGTGGCTTTGATTTATATTTTGGTGAGTATAACAGTCCTTATGCAAGACAATCATCTTATAAACATGCAATTAGATCTTCATCTGGTACCTTTGAATGGGCCGATTGGGAGGTGTTTTTAGTTTCGAAACTTTAACTATCATTTTAGGAGGGTTTATGTTAAACTGTATAATTGTGATATGATGATACAGTGGTATAGATAGGTTTTGTTTGGGATAATAAATGTTCATAAGTTAATATTACTAGTTGATGTCAATTTGGTTTGGACGAATTTTTACAAATCGCATTTCTTTAAGCTTCATTTTTTTTGTAAATGTTTGTAATAGCGCATAGTAATGACCAATTACGATTGCCGTAAAGGAGATAATTCAGGCAATTTCCCGATCACTTGATAAGGTTGGTAATCATAAACACGTCTTCGTGCACGTTGTATTCCACTCGTTTTGTTTCAACTTCCTGTATATACGTTGGATTTTTTTCTGAAAGTAGTATTCAACCCTTAGCCAAACGTCATACACGAAATGATCTCAACGCGTAATTTAAGAGAAAAATTTCTCAACATTGAACAGTTAATTTAATTTGGTGTTACTTTTTATATGCATCAGTTGTTGAACGGACTAAGCTAAGGACAGAGTAAATTTATTAAAGTACCTTTTCAATGACCGAGGTTGATGGTTGGACTTTACTTTAGACTCGCATACGATTTTTCTGCGTCAAATTTTATTGTAACGTAGTAATATTGTAAATTTCACATCAGTCGATTTACTTAAATGAGTTTTTCAGCGAATGGCATTGCTGTATATCATAGTAATAATTGACTCATAAAGCTTTTTTAGATAATCATGATTTTCACACTAATACACTCAATTCGAATGTTTATTTTTTTATGTAATCCCTTTTCCATCAGCAATAGTATTTTTAGTGGGAAAGTTGGCATTGATGATCAACAAACCAATATGCACAAGTTGTTGACAGCAGCCCAACTTGACTTTATAACATATTCCTTTATCGATGGTAAGCGAGGAGTTTTAGCTTCCCAGACGCTAACCTATCTCCCGTTCGCCAATGTCAGGCGTCCTCCCTCTTTATCGAGGGGGTCAGACGATTTCTACCCGTACGGCGCTACGGGATTTTTCGTCTGGCCGTTTTCCCCACACGGAGCCGCTTGCATGCACATGTGCAAAACAACTCGTAGTTTTAAACACCTCGCTGGCAAAGCGATTTATTCTACGTTTAAATTACAGGACAATAGAAAGCATTTGACGCTAATATTAAATAAAGAATCATCGAGGTAAAAGAATGTACCAGTTTGAAGAACAACGAAACCGGCAAGAGCGGAAAACAGCAGCACCGAAAAGTCTAATTTAAGCAAAACTGATAGTTATAAATCAATTACTTGATTAGAGAAGCCAATAAATTATCTGGTGGACTATGTAGTCAATAGAATTGCAGATAAATTAGTTCAACAAATAGCTCAAAAAGTAGCCAAACTGATGAGTGACAACTGACAAAAAAAAGAAGAACATACTAATAACATACGACGGCTAGGTTATAAATATAAAATAGTTGAATCCAAAAGAGCATTTAATTTTTAATATTCCAGTCCTCCAATTTACACGTTTAACAATGAGAATGGACTGCATTGAGCCGATAAATTGCTTTCCGACTATTCGCATAATTGTGTGCCCGTACGTTTAAAATTCCGCGCTTTAATTTCCAAAAACTTGCAACTATCTAACGGAATTACAACTCGATAATTTTTGACAAGTAAATTTGGCTCCCAATTGCAGTATTTTTTTATTGTAGCCTGCATATTACCTTGTACTGAGAGAATGGGCTACGACATGAAGATTTTATCATGTGGCTTGCCGATCTGCGTACAAAGAGGAAGTTTTTAGCTGTTTGCTATACACTCATGGTCATAATCCGTATCAGTTAATCTCATTAATGGAAAATATATTATAAATATTGTGATTTTTTTTTATTGTCAGTGATATAAAGTAGCGCTTTCGAGATTATTAAATGCAGCATAGATTATAAATGACGATGTTGATACTTGTGCATGATTAAGCGCAACATTTGTAACTATACCTATCAAAATTCACTATTCGAGTTGGAGAAGATTTCCATAGGTAATAACTTACTACTATATTTACTCTCTTCTCAGCACGCAACAAAGGTTCATTATTACTATGATATATAGTATTCCATGTATCATCACTCGGTTCCCCGCTATCAATAAAATTGTCGATATTCTCATAAAGCTCTCGCGCAGTCGGTCGCTTGTCCGCGTCAGCATCACATCACAGCACTTTTCAGAGAGATTCCTGCAAGATGCTGGTGTCCAATCGGACATCGTTGGCCTTAGTCCGTTACAGATATCCCCTCGCCAATGCTCATCGAACAGTTTATCTCTGAAAAGTGTGGTTCACCACTCGATCCGATGCGCAAGGATGCCGAAAGCGTAAATATCCGATTTCTGACTAAACTTCGTGTCTGAAAGACTTCTGGCGCGATGTAGGGTAAAACTCTGAATTTTGTACGGATGAATACACCGACTTGGAGAGTTCGAGATCACAGATAAACAGCTTACTAAATGCTCGCTGTCTTTCCACCATGCAAATCACGGTGTACTAAATTCATCATATGGATGACATGCAGACGATACCCAATATCACTCAGAACGACCGTGTGTCTTGTTCATTAACAATCTTTTTTAGCGCTACTCTGACCGACCCATCGAGTTTTGCTATCGGTTCGGTTGTAACCAATCGGCTACGTGTGCACATTCGCTTTAACAATGGTGATGTCATTTCTATTTAGCCCGAAGTATTTAAAAAGAACAGATTAGTCAGTAATAGAAGCAAATTTACGAGGTGAACCGCGACCTTCTCAGGCAGGTTATGTGGGCAGGAAACAAGGATTCACTCAGTTTTTAATAATCGTGACAATAAGTAGCAAAATTTCTTGGGCATTGCCGCAATTTTTTTGCAGACACTTAATATGTTACACATACACAGTTATAGTTATACAAAGATTGAGAGACATTCTCGCCTCGGCGATAACAACCTGAAATTCTAAGCAATGAACAACTTTATTGATTTGTCTTCGAGTCTATCAGTTGACTATGAGAAACTGTACGAAAGTGGCAGATATACAGATATCTCAATCCATATTGGAAAGGAGCCAAACAA